ATTACAGGTATCCTAATCCAATCATTAGTAACAGTTGCTATAATATGAATATTACATAGGTGATTATCCAAATTTTTATTGTCGATGGGATTTGAACATCCAACTTATCACTTGGAGAGTTGATAACCTGACCACTTCACTAGGTCACTACACCCCCTAACTCATGACAGATTAACACAACTTCTAAATATAAGAACAAGATAATAATTTGTAAATATATTAGTAGAAATAACCTGAAACACCTTTTATGAGTAAATTTGAAGAATATAATGTAAAAAAATTAATATATAAGAAAAAAGAATAAGAATAACTAGCAAAATAAAAAAAAAACTCCAAAAAAAGAATTCAAATAAGAAGAAAAAAAAATTAGTTAATAAGAAATAGAATAAAGGATGTGACAACCTAGTGAAGTGGTTAGATTGTCAACCCTCAAGTGGCAGGTCCAGAGTTCAAATCCCAATGTCGACGGAAAATTTAAAAATCCTCTCTATATTATGGTTAACTGTCTCTCACAATTGGTTAGGATAAGACATCTGTAATCTATATCACACCAGCATGACTGGCAGATTACATAGCATTTGTGTAACAGTCATATGACATTGTTCTTTGGGACAAGGTCTGTGGTTATATAAAGGAATGCAAACTGGTACCAAGTGGTGCAAACCTACAATAAGTTCTCGTGGCCATGTAAATCATAGGAACCAATAAAAAAAAGATGGAAACCCACTTGAAAAACCCAAGTAGAGAGATAATCCGAGCTTTTGATAGTGCTAATATAAAGACTAGACTTATGAAACAGAGCTAGAACTTGTGAAACTGGGCAAATGTGCTGGTCTTTGAGGAGAGACTGGATGAACTAACCAGACTACTGAAATTTTCAGGTTCTGGAGAAAAAGAGTACATGCCAGCAAACATGTAAACCAGAGGTGTATAATTTTAATCTATCTTTCCAGGCTATCTGAGATAGCAACTTGGTAGAACTTGAATTGAATACCAAAGTAGTAAGAATATGTTGTGAAGTAAGTACTAAGGTTGGGGTGAACTCTACAAGGGCATAGTGGTTTAATGGTATGCTCTGACTGCTAGTATTGGTCTTGACCATAATGATACCAGATCAACTGTAAGAATAGGATACAAAAGATTCTGGAAGGTTTAGTACAAGGTCAAAGGTTCCAAAGAACTGTTTTAAAGACTTAGTAGCCATGACATATTTTTACTAATATCAGTCAGAGTTATTGGTAAACAGAAGTAGATAGGTGAATACAAAAACAGAGTGGTTAAATAGGGAACCTACAAGTGGGTTCCAGGTATGACAACTAGTGTAGAACCTTCAGGCAGACTACTTAAATTAGACAATGACTAAAGTTGTATGAGTGACTAGTTGTACACTCTCTCCATAGTTGCCCCCTGTGGTTGTAAAGCAATCATTAACCAAATATACTATCAATAAAATCCTGGATTACAAGTACTCACCTTAATATTTAAAAAAAAAAAAAAAGAAATAGAATAAAAAAAAAAAAAAACAAGAAAAAAGAAAAAATGAATTGAAGATGAAACTAAGAAGACCATTTTGAGACTTGTCATGAAACAAAGAAGATCCTTTCATTATAGACTTTAAGTAGTCAGACAAGCAGCTTACTTCTGCTCAAAGTAATGCAACAGGTTGCATTTAGGTGCCATTAGGATGACTAGGCTTAGTTATTAGGTATATCTATGTAATTGCAAAAGTAATTCCAAGAATCTTAATAAAGCACTAGCATGACTGCTTAAGTTAAAAAAAAAATTTTTGAATCAAAATAATAACAAATGACGTGATAAAACTTTGTGTCAATTGCATAAATTGAAGTATGATAACCATTTTAAAAATTTTAAAAAGCAACAGAATATTCCAAATACTTAGAAAACCGTAACCATAGTACTTTTTGACTGTAATAAATATTACGTATTTTGAGTTATTCGAAATAAATAAAACGATTAATTTATTACTTATCGTTGTTACATGATTTTTTAGTGCTCAATATATTTGTAACGTGATGATCGAAACTTTTTTGGATGGTGAACCAAAATAACCATTGAAACCAGACTTAATATTATTTGACAGTAAGAAATAATAATCTTCGTATTAAATTTGAATCTTACGATTATACTACTCTATCAATGTCACTTGCACCTGATGTAATATGTACTTTCTGCTTCAACAACGTTCAGAAATTTACTTTTTGTAACGTTTTTGGTTCCTTTTAGGAATCATGATTTTAACCCTAAATTTACCACAGGTGATCATTAGATTTTTTGATTTTATTTTTATTTTAATGATAAAAAATATTTACATTTTGAGAATCCCCATAATAATTTTAATCCCTATTTTTTTAATACTCAGAATAATTAAAAAATTTTTTATATTTTAAGAAAAAAAAAAAAAACCAATTGTTTTGATAATTTCAATAAACAAATTAAATAAACATAGAGAATTCATTATTCTGTTATTTTACGAAGTGTTTTTTTTCTAGAGCTTCTATAAAGCACCCATTCATCCCATCTTTTATATACGATTTTTTTAGGATCAAATTTATCAAATGTTTGGTCACTATCGTGACCAGGATTTGCACCTTCAATTTTTCGTGTTGCACCCCACGTAAAATCTAAAAAAAAATAAATAATCGTGATGAATAAATGAGTAAATGAATAAATGATATACGTAATTAACAACGTTAAAAAAGTATATATATTATATCATACCATCAAAATTCCAAAATGAATATAGAGGCAAAAGAACATTCCAAACTGGCACAGATGTTAAATAAACCAGAAACCATAAAACATTTATCGGATTAAGACCCGCAATTATTATCAAGAAAAGCTGAAAAAAATAAGTTGTCGCTGCACTGATAACCTGTAGTTGATATGGTTGACCAACCAATAATCCAATAACGAGGTATATTGTGAACAAGAAAGCAAACGGTGCTGTCACTGATCCAAATAAATCAAGAAATGACGCGCATTGCATTGAAAAACAAAATCTTCCTGGTAATTCGGGTGATATTATTAGTTCCAATAGAGTATGAAGTGTACCGTTTATCCAACGACGACGTTGTGAAACTAATACGGAGAATGAATCGGGAACTATAGTGTGGCAAACAGCTAATGAACAATACATAGTTTTACAATGTGGAAATGCGCGAAGGACTAAAGTAGTTAAGTATCGATCCTCGCCAAGAAGTAAGAGATTTTTTTGATGTAACGTATCAACCTCATTTGTTGTATAATTATTCATTATGGCATCGTCGATCAGGATTGGAATCTTGTAACCTTCATCATTATAAGAATAGATTTGGTACATACAGAAACAACCAGGAAGACAAGTCACACAAGCGAATATAGCTTCGAAAGCTTTTCCAAGATGATGTGATATATAATATTCAAAGACCTATTTGTAAATGATTAAAATGATTAAAGTATTAAAAAACCATGTCTATTATCATAATTTTAACATTAATCTTAACACATTTATGTTACGAACCTGAATCATGGTAACCCAATTTTCAGTTGTATTCAAAACCTTAGTCTCACCACAAATTCCAGTAATACTAGGTTCCTGGTTTATACATTCTACCATTCTGGTTAAACTTTTTTCTTCAATAATAGTATCGGCATCAACCATACATACTAATTGATATTGATCTACCGTTACTCCCGTTAATTTTCTAACTTGTTCAAACATTTCAAATTCCAATTCACACATTGGTTCATTGTGAAATGCATGTTTCAATAAATTCATCAATACCAATTGTGTATCACGTTTACCACGGTTTCCAGCTTTAGGTAAATCTTTTTCAGCAGGTGTTCCACATTTTACTACAAGGATGGTAGGAATACGACGATTTTCATAATGGTAATGACCAGAATAAACTTGTGCCATGTTATGACGTTTTGCACCTTGACCAATTGCTATATAACTTGCCGGTTTTGGAACAGTATCATCAAGGAGTACGACAAGACTTTTTAAAATATCAGGAGTAGATTCCGTTTCACCACTTCCTGTAATATTACCATCAGCAACTATGAAAAATAATTTATGTTGATCTGAATAATCTGCGGCAGCCAATGAATCAAAGCTATTCTTTAAAGATTCTCGACCTTCACTATAACAAGGAATAGTTATTATCATATATTTTTGTTTATCTTCTGAAATTGAGTTGGGTAAACCAAGTTTTTTTGTAAGGTATATATCATAAATAAAACCTGATGATAACTTTAATACCCCATAAAATGTTGTTATCGTAGTTACTACCACAAGAGTTAATGTCATTGTTGCGCAACCATATGAGACACCTTCAACCTTTCCTATTAAAAAGTTGTCGAAACATTTCACCACATCACTTTGAGAAGGTGTTCTAACTATTTCTAAAGTTGCATCATGACCGATTAGACTTTCTAACCAAGTTCGTGTAAGATTTTTATCATCACCTAGCCATAGATCATTATTTGATGAATCAAGATATGATGTGAAATCATATACAAAATTTTGATTTACTAATAATTTTCTATTACTAGTATTTGAATATATCTCATCCCATGAAAAGCCAACATAACGATTAGTCGATAAATTTTCTAAAGTACGCATTGAATTTTTTGAAGTATGACAATGATATCTTGAATCATTTGGTAATGAAGGGCATAAATTTAAAGGATTAACATTAGAAGGTTGGAATCTACAACCAATAGCCACATTGTTCAAAGGAAAAAATTGAGAAATATCTTTTCCAAAAAGTGGATTAATGATTCCAGATAACGTATTATCAGTTTCTGGTAAGATTGGGCGATGAAGACCGGAATTAAAATAATCACCAGTTCTATAAATTTTTCCACGGAGTATCATGACTAAAGCAGAATTTGAGTTTGTTGAATTACTCCATAATTCACCAGCAAAAGAATTTGGAATTGGAGGTGGTTCTGTACAACTTAATGCTAAGAAACCAAATGTCAATAAAGAAGCAAATATAGAAGCTAAAGCTACAATAACACATAAAGCGAATTTTTCTCTCCAAGCTTGTCGTAATTGAGGATTATCCATTCCTCCAAATTTGACTAAGAATTTATCCAAGAATAAAAAGGATAATATCCATGATACGTAAACCCACCAAGTATTTCCTTTTCTTGGAACCAATTCTGTGGATAATCTTGAAAGGGTACTTATTTGTCGACCATTATTAATAGAAAAGTTAGACTTTCTTGGTGCAAGTTGAGTGGATATTTGAACACTCCTTCTTCTTTTAAAATCACCTTTTTCGACCATTGAATCTGATAAAACTCTTGAATCACGAGAATCATAAATATCATCAGGCATAATAAAATTCTCTATCATATCAGAAACATGTAGGTAGCCACCATCACGTGCAAGCTGAGCAGCAGTTTTCCCATTAGCGGTCTTTAAATTCTTATCAGCATTTGCTAAGAGTAACTGGCGGACTATATTTGCTCGCCCTTTATACGCCGCTAACATTAAAGGTGACCAATGGTACTAACATTAACAACACAAAAAAATACAAATTTATATAATTTAATATATATATTTCAATAAATTAAAAAAAAAAAAGTTTTTTCTCATTACCATATCAACAATGTCAAGATTAGCACCTCTGGTTAAAAGAGTTTCCACAGAAAGGCCATGCCCATTATGAGCAGCATATGAAATGGCGGTTTTCTCAGTCATATCTCTTTGATCAATATTTGCACGACCACGATCTAATAATATTCTACAAGCATAAGAATGTCCATGATACGCTGCTATCATAAGTGGAGATACGCTGCTATTGTTTGATAGATTAACCGATGCATCATATTTTAACAGAATTTTTGCTACATCAGCATTTCCTGCAGCAGCAGCTTGAAATAAAGCAGTTTCACCAGATTCGTCTTTTTTTTTTTTTTTTAAAAAAAAAAAGAACTATTTAGATTTTCTTTTTATTAAAAAAAAAACAGGTTTTGAAATAGAAATAAATGGTTACCTTGCATATCGACATCAACATCCGCCTTCAACAAATAATTTACTGTCATTTGACAGTCTAGAGAAGAAGCAATCATTAAAGGAGTCTTATGACTATCTTGATTTTTATTAGACTCATTATTTTCTGGAAAGGTAGGATTAATAAGACGATTTAAATCATAATCGGGAAATTCATTTAAAACCTTTGCAAGAGATTGAACATCATCTTTAATTATTGCACCATATACTAGTGTATCCAGTTGAGAATTCAGTGATGAACGAGCTTCAGAAACAATTGTTCTAGAAGAAGATGAACTAGAAGCTAAACTTTCATCTATAATCTTTGATAGATGAGATAGTGGAAAAGTATCAGTAGCTATTCTACCATGTGTAGATATTCGAGCAGTTTCGTTTCCGTTTCTAAGTTGAGCTCGACGTAAGATTGGAGTATCAGAATTTGCAGTATCGGGAGTTAAAGTTTGATCATTTTCGCTTTCGATAATGAATTGTGATATTTGTAATTCTGGGAGAGAGACTACTGTGTCAGACGTTGATGATTGAATATTTTCATTTTCAGATGTAGATGATTGAATATTTTCATTTTCAGATGTGGATGAATGAATATTTTCATTTTCAGATGTTGATTGATTATTTCCGTTTGATGGATGCATTCGATTGATATTGAAAAGGGAGAAGTTCGATTGAAAAAGTAACTATAATAGTGACACGCAAGTATATTAATAATAAATGAATGTATGTTTAATGCAACGAAGCATCAAATCTTATCAAAAAATTGATGATTCTTTTTTGTAACAATGAAAAAAAATAAAATACAGTAATTTTTTGTGATTTATATGTATTCGCGAAATAGATTTCGTTATATTATTAAACATGGTACATGCTTATAATCATAAAAATAATAATTATATGATATATATAAATTATAAATGAAAAACATTTCATGTATGCAATAAATAAAACCAAATTTTTTTCTATTGATTAAGGTTCAAAGTATTAACACTGTATAAAGCAACAGTCTCGGTTCATTAATTCACCGATATTATCCGTATCGGGCTAATTTCCATTTGAAGTTAAATCTTTTTTCCTTTAAATATTAAAAATCCGGAAATTTGTTAACAATTGCATATATATATAATTTATAGGGTACATACATAATTCAATCTATGATGAATTGTGCGCAGTTTTAAATAATACTAATAAGTTAGGTAAAAGACAAATTATTTATATAATACTTATCCAGTGATACTGATGTAGAATATTTGAAGAATAACAGAATTAGTGCGAAATTATATGAAAAGACTTGGAACAATCGTTAGTAAATACTCAAAACAAGGTTTTAAATGGTTTTTTTTTAAGTTAGTTCTTATTCATTTAAAACTCTATGATACTTTTAAAGTGAATTGATCGGTGCCTTAAACGAATCATCGATAACAATGAAGATCGAAATACAGGATGTCTTTACACATGTATATATGTATATTGTACCACTTCTTATTTAAGAAGCTCTGGTTTAACCAATCGAGTTTTTAATCTTACCGGGAAAAATCAAGAATACCGAGCCTAAACTTGGAATAGAAAGACCTCAAACTGATCCTAAATTTTAATTACTTCCAAATAAGGAAGTAGGCAAAGCGGAGCGACCAATCAAATTGAATAATTTTGATCAACCTAGGCATCCTGATAAAAAAAAAAAAAAATTACAAGCTATCGAGTTCATCTTGGAGCATTAATAAATATTTGGCTGGGGTAATTTTTACCTATATATATTTGTTATAATGTTAATAAAATAGTTTCAAAACTTGCTTTGTTTTAGTCATTCCAAATAAGGAGGTTTGAAAAATTGTAATATTGGTCCGTTAAACTATCCTAATTTATGTAATAAGTTCAAAGATCCAATCAAAATTTAGAAATTTAAATCTTTAAATGTACGGCGGAAAAATCGGCATACTAAATTGGATAAGTGGTCGATCATATCCTTATAAATTCAAACTTTTATAACTGAGATTAATTTTTTACACGAGTAAATTACATGTGTATAGAGTTACGTCACAAAGTCACGCACAAGAAAACGTTTCGCGTGAATAAACATGTTCTAAATCTCGAAAAACAACTTTAATTGAAAATTTTGGTTTCAATTTTAAATTCTAGAAATTTCCAACTTGATTTTTAATCTTTACATGGTATTTCGGATTTCTTGCAGTTTCTTGCATTATAGGTGACCCTTCAATAAATGTATTATTAATAAAAGATCAAAAGTTCAGTCTTTAGTACGTAATCAATCCTCGGTTCAATGAATTCCCAAAATTAGATTGTCAATTATGCATTATGTATCTATTACATATCTATTACATAAGAGACACTTCGCTTTGAAAAAGAAATATTTGTTTCGAATATATTCTTTTCATGGACTAGTCAACATAAATTCAGAATTTTTAATAGTTTTCTATGTCAATCCCATGAAATTAATAAATCCGAAACCAAACAATTAACATCCTAGAATATATTACATCCTTTAAATGTATGATCGTTCAGCGATCCATGTATTAATCTCCGTCACCTTGCAGCATCATTCTGATCATTCTGCTACAAAAATAGTTCGTGTTTAGAATATTCCATGTGCTAAGCCTGACGATATTATATCTATACTATTTAAAATTTTTAAAATTTTATGACCGTTTTTTGATTTATTTCTAAGGTACTTCCGAATACTATTACCGTCGCCGATCGATAAATATATCTACACGAAAATAATTCGTTTCCATATGATGCTCGGAAACCAGTTATTGGTCATTAATTTTTAATTTGTTCATTAATAATTAATTTACGACATAGTAAAGCTAAACGGATTTGATTCCGTCCTATTAATTTATGAAATTAGCAATAATTGATTTACGACCCCGTCTTATTAATTATTCAGTTTTAGGGCAGTGTCATCACTCGGAAAGTTCGAAAAAATTCGGTCACTATTTTTAATAATGAATAATGCAAGCCTTTACTACAATGTTTCTTTAAGGTATTAATTAAAATTGAATTAAATTGTATTAAATTTATTAAATTTTGAGTATATATATTTATTTTTAGGTCAGATTTATAAGCAAAGTAAGAATGCGGACGCCCGTTAGACTTTTCTATGGACAGGTCCGGACACTCAAATCGTACGTATACTGTAGCACTGTCCGGGTACAGAGTTTATTATTTATAGAATAGCTTTCGATCATACACCGTATTGAATTTACTAATTTCCCTCCACATTTCTGATTGGTTCTACTGATTATTCACATATCGGAGTATCTATGCAAACCCCGCCGTATTAAGTTGAATTAATGTGAATAATATATGTTATATGAAATAAACTACGTAATTTGCGGTTAAACTGTCAAACTACAATTCCGATAGTTTGAAACGTGGTATGTATAGTGATGTGCCGCGTACAGTACTGTACGTACTGTACGCGAAAAAAATTCGAGTATCATATGAGTGACGAAAAGGGAAAACCTGTAAATCATCTCACTCAATGAGTGAAATGATTTTACAGGTTTTCCCTTTTCGTCACTCATATAAATGGCACATCACTAGGTATGTATTATTAGTTAGGACTCATCATTCTAATGGTAATATATATACCGGATCATATGATGAGAAACGGATAGATTTAGATAATCATCTTTATATTCTACGTATTGTACAGTTCACCCAGCCATACTGCATAAGAACCTACCTATCAAATTTCTATTTTAATAAGTTAGTAATCTAATTTAATGTCATATAAATCTTTGTTTCTAATATCTCTTGCTTCAAGATTCTTCACATACGTAGTAAGTATAAAAAAAAATTGTTCTCCCAAATTTAGAATTCCTACTGCCTATTACTTTTACGAACCTAGCGTAACAACTAAGATCAATTGCACACTGATACGTGTTTCAAATGTATGTATATGGTTGATATCAATTAATATGGCAATTTCTATAATTATTTTGATGTCTGTGCAGTGTTAGTAATGAATCTGAAGAAACCCTTTTTTTTCTTTTTTTATATGCTTAAATATTTTGTAAAAATGGAATCAAAATACAAGCTACTAATACGTATAAAATTCTCTCGATACAGTGAATATTCATTGTTAAAAATTTTATTAATAAAGTGAAACGATAATGATTTTTATCACTTGTTCTGCTATGCATCATATTCATTATATTTAACATTCTAATAATTTAAATCAACTAAATTTGAATTATCCTCTTATAAGTGGTAGATAATTCGTACATTAACAACAATTGATTATATAAATAATGAATTAAATTATTTCTGATCAATATAATATAACTAAAGTGGATGAAGCAGTTGCTAAAAGATTTGAGCTGAATTAAAAAAATGTAGAAAAAAAACTCACCAGATATAATATAATTACAAATTCTTACCAATTATTAATTTACATTTACTCACATAATTAATTAACAGTTATTTGATATACATATTTAAGCACATAATTTCCTTGAAAGGTGTTTTGTTCTTTCACAACAAAAAAAAATATTGGATCAAGCTACATCTATCCAGACAAAAATAAAAACACCTTTTACTGCCACTAAATGAAAGTGTTGAATAAGCTAAATTGTTCTCATTTAAAATCGATGTATCGATGTTTTCGAATGCACTTTTTACTTTGTTGATCATACATTATGTAATGATTATGTAACTGACCTTGATGGTTATGCTGATCTTATTTTCGCGAGCAATGCAAACTCGAGTTTAATTTTTAATTTCTCAGATCGGCTGACATAGAATCCAAACACGTGCGAAAGAAAGAAAGAAAGCAAAAATACTCGAAATCCAATGTTTAAACCGACCTTGGTGTATTAATTAAAATGTCAGAAACTAAAATTTTACATAGATGAAGTGGCAAGTGTTGTCAATTTCTTGTTCTATTGATAAAAATTATACGACAAGGTGAAATCTGAGTTGCGAAATAAATAAAACGCTGATTTCACCATAACCCGATCTACAAAGCGGATTTCACCATAATCCGATCTACAAAGCGGATTTCACCATAACCCGATCTACAAAGCGGATTTCACCATAACCCGATCTACAAAGCGGATTTCACTATTTCGCAACTCAGGTTTCACCCTGTTCTAAAATTATATTCTATTCTAATTTTTATTGCTATTCAATTATAATCTTGTTGGCAATTTTTTGTTCTATTGACAAAAATTTTATTCTATTCTAAATTCTATTGCTCTATTCTATTGTTCTATTCATCTATTGCTGCCAACACTGATTGAATTCTATTTTCACGTACTTAAAATTCATGTTGGTATTACGTATGTAAACCAGCAAAATTGTTGGTTCCAGCGACACCAATAATCGAAGGCAATCATATGATGTTATTACTAATCATTCGATATATTAGTATTAGTATTATTAATAATCAAAGTTTAACTATAAATTGACACGGACACGTGTTTTTTTTGGTTTCTTTAAAAAAAATCGCCAGTAACACGAAATTTTACCTATGAAACTGTCTTCTGCGCTCTAACAAAAAATTTCTTGCGAAATTTGGTGTAGGCTACGCCTTTTTCTAACCTCAATTCTAACCCTAAAGACAATATTTACTGCCTAAAATCTTTCGCTTTATACAAATTTTGATTGGTTCTCA